CGGTTTACTATCCTCTCTCTCTCTCTCTATCTCTCTCTCTCTCTCTCTCTCTCGTTCTGTGCCCGTCTATCTCGAAATTCAACTATAGTCGGAAAATTTGCCACAAACGGTTTCGATACCAACAACGGTAGAATTTGTTCGAATGTGGCAGTATCGATGCATGATTTCAGGCAGAAACAATATCGAGTCAAACGAGTTACGATTTTAGCAGGGCTTCGATGAAATATTCAAACAGTCTACCCGCTACGAGACATCCGCGGCTATATACACGTATACATACGTGTACACATAGAGTTCCCGGGGCAACAGAAATAATCGAGTTTCCGAAATTTACATCCATCTACGGCCTCCATTTTGCGTGACACGCCTTGGGCCGCAATCTGTGTGCAAAGCCTTTGCCAGAAAGTTAAGGGGAAATTATAATATCGCGCGCGTGCATGTACGTGTGTGTGTGTGTGTGTGTGTACATATGCGTAAACGGAGATTCGAAGAAGAGCGCAGGACGAAAATGTGCGAAAATCTCCTCCCGCTGATGGGTATGTGTATGATTCGTAAGCGCGTGTTGCCATGTATTTGTAAACCAGTTGTTACACGCACGCGTACGTGAAATAACGAGGAGAATAGCACCTGAGTAGTATATACATCGTGAATTCTCTTTGTCCGGGCCCACAAAGTGAGCGACGATCTACAAAGCAGGACTACGGTGCCAGATTTTCTCGACCGGGGACACTGTCTTCGGTCACGGCGAAGAGAATCAAGACACGCGGGAACAAAGTTCGACGCGTGAAACTTTCCTCCGACGACCTCTCGTCTCTACGAATCTTCGTCTTTTTGTCGAAGGACGGAAGAAACCGCTGATTTGTCCACGGTGGCAGTGAAGTTGAATTCCAAAAAAAAAATAACATGCACGACAGACAATTTCGATGCACTAATTTAGTAGGATCGCACAGAGACTGAGTCTATAAGTTACACAGTAACAAATGATTAGCTCGAAGGTTCGTGTAAAAATCTCGCCAATGATCTTGGATTTTAACAACTCCAGTCTAAAAGTCAAGATTTACACGTAGGAGATTATAACACAAAGTGTTACGATCGAAAGAGTGGTTTTCGAGTGTAGCCACGTATCAGCTAACTAGGTTTAACTCTAGGTCAAACAGAGTGAAGAGATAAATTTGAAAGTTAAATGCTGACTGTCGTTTTCATTTTTTTGGGTCACATTCTTCGCAGTTTTCAGTGATTTTAGGAAAGTAGTGGGACTTTATCGCTCCTGGTCACAAGGGCGTATGACACGAGCATCGTTTCGAAAAACTCGGCGCGGCCTAACCTTATTCGCGAGAGATTTTGCAACGAGTTTGCGCGAGTTCCGAGCGTGTTTTTGCTACCGGGGCAAAATTTCGAATCTTTCGCGCGTATGACAGGCTTTACGGTTGGATAGGAGCCGGAGAGAACGTACCAAAACGCTGTGCTAACTTTTCGAAGCTCCGTCGACCACCGCCGCTAACTTTTCCCGGTAACCGTAGCTGAGAAGACTTAACTATGTATGACACACGCAACAAACCGTGAATAGTATGCTCTCCGACTATATCTCCTCCGTCTCCTATCCTCCACCTCGTCGCATCAATCTGCCTGCGATATTTCCGAAAAGACGTCGCCTCGATGCGAGACGAAACTGTCGCGTAGGAGAAGGAGATCCGGCGAAAAGTCTCGACGGATCTGGCCGGCAATTCTTTGACGCAGGATATTCTCTCTTTATTCAGGAAGAGGAGCTCCATTACAACGTCACCGCCGGCATAGTGCTCTCGGACCACTCCCTGGTACTTCAAAGTATAACTCGAGAATCCGCTGGAAGGTACACCTGCACGGCAGTCAATGTCGAGGGCCGCGCCAGTTCTAACGTAGTGAACCTCGAGGTTATGTGTGAGTATATTTTGTTGCTCTCACCATTGCCCGACCGTGGGCCGGCAAAAAAAGGAAAAAACAAAAAGAAAGAAAAAGGACCGTATATACTTTGACTAGCGAAAGTTGCCGATAAAAACTCAACACTTGGTGTACACTTGTCTCTGATACTTGGCTTCTTGGCAAATAAGTTTATCAAGGAGTTGCTTCTTTCGTCCACCTTGTTCCTTCACAAATGCAGCGTGAAATACATATTTCACGCGAGCCCCGCGGCGATCCTTCGTTCTTATTAAAGAGCAACACATCTACCGTAAGTGAACGATGTGTAACGTATGTTAAGTGCCAACGGTACGTAACGTTTTACGACACGAATGTACTCCAAACCCAGCGTGTCATACTAGGAATTTCTAAAACATTTGCACGTAGAATTCACAAGTCAACTCCAAACTAAACGCCCCGTAAATTTAATCAATCTCAAGCGCGATAAAGTATTCCGCACCATAGGGTTGCCATGTTATAAACACGCGCGTACTCGAGCAAACAATGGGATCGTTTTCCAGAACTGTTACCTCACTCGAGTTACATCTCATACTTCCTGATTGGTCTACATCCACCGATCCACAACTCCTCCTTTAGAAGAGATAACACACGACCTTAATATAAAAGAGGACTCTTAGAACAGTATCAGGACACAAATCAAATGAGAACAATCAAATCAAGATACTAATCATCAGACATCAGTCAATATTCGGCCAAGTATATTTGTCGAGCTCAATCGTTATGCAGACAAGCTTTCTGAATCTAGTAGAAGCCATCTCATTGCAAAATAAAAATAACCATAGTTATTCGTTTCCCACAATAGTGGATGGTCCTTCGAAGGGATATACGCAAAGATACACGATCAACACCAGTCGTGAGTGTCCTTAACACTTTGACGGCTGCATATTTTTCTCATCACTTTTAAGTTTCACGCAGATTTTATTGCTTGTCATCGGCGATATTTATGCAATCGTTCATAGAATTAGATTAATTTATTAATAATTGCACTATATTTATTGGTGAAAGTTAGCTTGTCAAATGAAACATTTTTACAAGACAATTTAGAGAATTTGCAACCAGGTGCCGCGTGAATCTCAGTTAATTTCGAACGCGACGATGTTCTTTCCAAAAAGTAACAATTGCCGTAAACCAAGTAAATAGTATCTTTCAGAAGCATGTATCGGAATATGAACATCGGATTCGAAGGTGTGAAATCATTTTTGCACGTCTTGCGAAAATAGTTACATTTTCGCGATGCCGGCCGACAACCGCTAGCGAAAAAGAATTCACGCGTACGTGACAGCGGCCGACTGCTGAATGTGTTAACAACGCGATGTCGTGCATCGGCCACTGCTTGTTATTACAGTCGCCCCGGTGTGCAAGCACGTTTTAAACTCGGCCGGCTGGAGGTACCAGAACGCAACGCCACCGCCATTGAACGTACCGGAGGAGGTGCACGGAGCGCTGAAGCACGAGACGATCAGCTTGGTCTGCGAGGTGGACGCGAGCCCGACGTCCGTCAACTTTCACTGGACGTTCAACAGCAGCGGCGACCTGAGCGACATTCCGTCCACAAAGTACTCCAACGAGGGCACCTCCAGCAGACTCAATTACACGCCGTCGTCCGACATGGACTATGGAACGTTGGGCTGTTGGGCCAGTAACATCGTGGGACCCTCGAAACAACCGTGCCTGTATCAGGTGATCGCTGCAGGTTCGTCAGAATATGTTCGTTTACTACATTCGCGTAGTTTCGTCTCGCACAGGAGGAAATACGTGTATTTCCGTGTTGAAAATTTGG